TACTATAATTAAAAATAAAATCTTATTTACTTGATTTCCCACCCAAACAATAGTAAATAGTAAAGATAAATTTTAAAAAAAGAATGGAAAAAAGAACATAAATATTTCACAATAATATTCTACATCATCTGTTAAAAATGGAATGGAAATTAGGTAAACTGAAAAAATAACTGAATATTAATAATTGACTGAAAATTAAAAATAAAAAAAGGAACATAAATTAGGTTAATTGAAAAAGGAAATAAATATTTATAATTGACTAAAAATAAAAAATGATCCATAATTGACTAAAATGGAAAAGGGAAATGGTCAAATTATTACATTTTAATTTTTTATAATAATATTACACAATATAGTACATCAAACCATAATTATGTCATAAATCTTTCACAATTTTAAAAATAGAACAGAAATATTTCAATAATAATATTTTACATCATCAAGTAAACGTAAATTAAAAATGAAAAGGAAATATTTAAATAACAATATTCTACATCATCAATAATAAAGGCATATTCTAATCAATAATAAAGTTAAATTAAAAATGCAATGAAAATTAAAAATGAAACAGAAATATTTTAATAATATTCTACATCATCAATTAAAAATGGAACGAAAATTGGGTAAAATATCACCACATCTGATATTCTAATTGACCAATTGACTAAAAATAAAAAAATAATAATTGGCTGAAAATGAATATGATATTACTAATTAACTGAAAATATAAAATAAAATGAATATTAATAGTTGACTGTAAATAAAAAATGATCTATAATTAACTAATATGAAAAAAAATAAATGGTTAGATCATTGCATTTTAATTAAAAATTGATGGAAACTAAAATTTGACGGAAATATTTCAACAATAATATTCTACATCATAGATAATAAAGGCATATTTTAAACAATAATAAAGTTAAATTAAAAATGCAACGGAAATATTTCAATAATAATATTATACATAATCAATTAAAACTCGAACGAAAATTAGGTAAAAATATCATTGCATATGATATTCTAATTGACTAATTGATTAAAAATAAAAAAAGAATAATTGGCTGAAAATGAATATGATATTACAAACTTACTTAAAATATAAAAAAAATCCTAATTGACTAATATTCTACAATTATATATTTTCACTCGAGTCACCCATCATGATGGACTGAAGGTGTTAGCTATAGACGATGATGGACAAGATTGTGTTGCTACTACCAATGTCGAAAGATGTTTCAATAATGTGTACATACAATCGTTGATATTTTTTTTAAATGACAAATTTGCTATATATCTAGACAAAAATATATATATATCTTCCATACAAATGAATTAAGATAGTAATTCATTCCTATAACTGAGTTGCTTGAGAATGAGCACATTTGACTAATTTATATAAAAAAAAAATACATAACAATGATAAATAAAATCTCCAAAATTACAGCACCGCATGCGTACATCTACACATTAGCTATTAATTTGAGCAATTATTTGCTCAAATTTAAGCAATGATAACATCAAAACACATAGATAATCCAAACCATATGTTCAATTGCACTATATAATATTTGATGTTCTAATTTAAATAATTATATATTGATCCAAATATTCTTAATATATTACAACAAATCCATTCTGTGCATCGAACGGGTAAAAATACTATTATTCTAATAATTTTTCTTTCCTTCTTTGGTGTAATTACTATGCTAATGTATTTAAATATTGAAAGAGAATTCTATAAAAAGGATCCTTAACTCACTAAAATTCTATATTATTCTTAAAAACTAAACCCCCATTTCTTACTTACCCGCCCAAACAATAAAAAAAAAATTACCAATTAATAATACTAATAATAATTAGTAAAAAAGTTAGTAGTAAAATAGAAAAAAAGATCCTTAATTCACAAAAAATAAAAAAGAAAACGGGATTCACTAATTAATTAAAACTAACAATAATCAGTAAAAAAAATCCTTAATTCACTAAAAATAAAAATATAAACGGAATTTACTGATTATGACTAATAATAATTGGTAAAAAAAATAAAAAATAAGTCTTAATTCAATGAAAATGGAAAAAAAGAAACGTAAGGGTGTGAAAAAAAAAAGTCATAATAAGGATAACAGTAAAAAAAAAGTAAATTCTACCAAAAATTAGAATAAAAAAAAGTTTCTTAATTCACGAGAAATAAAAAAGGAAATGGAATTCACTGATTAATTAATAGTAATAATAAACAGTCAGAAAATTAGCAGTAAAATATGAAGAAAAAAAAAAGATCCTTACTTCACTAAAAATGAAAAAATAAACGAAATTTACTGATTATAATACTAATACTAATCATTAAAATTGAAAATAAAAAAGGATTCTTAATTCAATGAAAATGAAAGATTTTTTTAAAAACAGGGGTCATAATAAAACTAACAGTAAAAACAATCCTACAAAAAAAATTGAAAAAAAAAAGATTCATAATTTACGAAAAATAGAAAATGAAATGGAATTCACTGAATAATTAATACTAATAACAATCAGTAAAATTAAAAGTTAACATTAAAATAGAAAAATATAAAAGGATCCTTAATTCACTAAAAATAGAAAAAGAAACGAAAGTCACTAATTAATACTAATAATAATAAGTTAAATAGGTAAATATAAAAAGATTCTCAATCTATACCATTATTAAAAAGAAAATCCTTCTTCATTACTTTCACACCCAAACAATAGAAAAAGAAAAAAAATCTATAATATAATTAAAAACAAAATTCTATTTACTTGATTTATCGCCCAAACAATAGTAAATAGTAAAGGTAAATTAAAAAAAAATAATGAAAAAAAAAGAACAAAAATATTTCACAATAATATTCTATATTATCAATTAAAAATGGAATGAAAATTAGGTAAATATATAAGTATCTATTCAAACATATTTTTTCAACCAACACCTTCACTAAGGCTCGATCTCATGACTTCCCATATAAAAGAGGTCACTACATGCCATCTGAGCACAAGGTGCTTGGCAACAAATATTAGGTTAATTGAAAAAGGAAATGAATATTAACAATTGTTTGAAAATAAGAAAAGATTCATAATTGACTAAAATAGAAAAAAAATGGTCAGATCATTGCATTTTAATTTTTCACAATAATATTACACAGTATAATACATCAAATCACAAGTATGTCATAAATTTTACATAATTTTAAACAATAGAATGGAAATATTTCAATAATAATATTCTACACTATCAAGTAAAGGTAAATTAAAAATGAAAAGGAAATACTTCAATAATAATATTCTACATCATCGATACTAAAGACATATTTTAAACAATAGTAAAGGTAAATTAAAAATGTAGCGAAAATTTAAAATGAAATGAAAATATTTCAATAATAATATTCTAAATCATCAATTAAAAATGAAACGAAAATTTGGTAAAAATATCATTGCATTTGATATTTTAGTTCGCTAATTGATTAATTGACTAAAAATAAAAGAGAAGTAATTGGATGAAAATAAATATGATATTACTAATGGATTGAAAATTTAAAAGGAAATGAATATTAATAATTGACTGTAAATAAAAAATTATTCATAATTGACTAATATGAAAAAAAAAAATGGTTAGACCATAGCATTTTAATTAAAATGGAAGGGAAACTAAAATTGAACGCCAATATTTCAATAATAATATTCTACATCATAAATAGTAAATGCATATTTTAAACAATAGTAAAGGTAAATTACAAATGGAACAGAAATATTTCAATAATAATATTATACATCCTCAATTAAAAATGGAACACAAATTAGGTAAAAATATCACTCCATGTAATATTCTAATTGACTAAAAATACAGAAGAATAATTGACTGAAAATGAATATGATATTGCTAATTTATTTAAAATATAAAAGGATCGCTAATTGACTAATATTATACCATTATATATTTTCACCGAGTCACCCATCCTGATCAATTGAAGGTGTTGGCTCTAGACGATGATGGACAAGATTGTGTTGCTACTACCAATATTGTCTACAAAGAGATTTCAACAATGTGTAAATAAAATCGTTGATATTATATTTTTTAAATGACAAAATTCCTATATGTATAGACAAAAAAAAAAATCCTCCATACAAATGAATTAAGATAACAATTCATTCATATAACTGAGTTGCTAGAAAACGAACACATTTGTATAATTTATAAAAAATACTAAACAATGATAAAAAAAAAAAAAATCTCCAAAATTATAACACTACATGCATACATCTACACATTAGCTATTAATTTGAGCAATTATTTGCTTAAATTCATACAATGATAATATAAAAAAACATAAATGATCCAATCCGTATATTCAATTGAACTATATAATATTTGATGTTCTAATTTAAATAATTATATATCGATCAAAATATTCTTAATATATTACAACAAATTTATTCCGTGCATCGTATGGGCGCAAATACTAGTAAAATAAAAATCAAAATCAAAAAACAAGAAAAAAATAAAAAGAAAAGTATGTCAGGCGCGCCTGACGCGTGCACTGCACGCGCCCGGCTGTGCCATGCTGTGCGCCAAACGCGAACAGCATGTGATCTTTCTTTTTTATTTTTTATTCCTATGCTTTCCATATTTGCAGAGCTATTCTTCCCACCATTCTTTCTTCTTCACACTAATTATTCATCGCATTCAAAAGAAAGCATATGACATTATCTCCACATTCTCCCCTTAGTGTGGATACTCTAAGAGCATATTTGAGTCATGTCAGCTACAGCAAGAATTATTGAATCATGTGAATATGTGATCACATGGACCCACCACAAATGGTATTTTTAATTACCCAAAAAAAAAAAAATACAGTATCAAATAAGACCAAAAGATTGAGCATCATCTTCTAGGCTTCACATGGGCTAAAAGCATCTTGTCTTCCACCCAAATATTCAATCACTACAGACCAAAAAACAATCTCTCATCAAATATACATAAGCCTAGCTTTCTCCCTCAATTATCACTACCCATCTCTTTTCATATAAATCACTTCTAGCTTCTACCAAATGCTCTCTCTTCTCTGAAATTCATTTCTCTGCCAGTCATCATCAGATCAGAGGTAAGTCGATTTTGAAATGGTTTGTAATGTTCATTAAACTAGTTTATGAATGGTTAGTGCGAATCTGAGGGTTCTTTCCTTTCATCTTTATCTAATTTCAGGCAAATTGTAATCTTTGACAAGTTACTTCTTTCAATCAACTCGAACAAAGTGTTCATCTTGAGATTTAAGGTTAGTTGGTAAGCTCTTGCTGCTATGAATTTTAGTGAAGTTAATTAAAGTATTTTATTATCTATCACAAGAATAAATATCCACACTACAAGGGTAATTCTCACTAAAGTCCCCCAATTATTGCTTAAAGATACATTTATATTTCATAAAAAGTAAAAAACTTTAATTTCCCTTTTTCTACTTCAAGGAATCTGCAGCTATTGTTCTTAAAGATATTGGATAGTCTCTCTGAAATTCATTTCTCTCCCCATCACTTACAGATCAATCATATCAGAGCTGAGGTTAGTCGTTTTTGAAATAATGAGATTATATAGACAAGTAGTTGCCTCTGTAATGTTCAGTAAATTAGTTTATGAATGATTGGTTAGTGCGAATCTGAGAATTCTTTCCTTTCATCCTTGTCTAATTTCCGAAAAATACAGGCAAACTATAATCTTTCACAGTGTTAGTTCTTTCAATCAACTCAAAGTGTTCATCTGGAGATCCCTAAATATACACACACTACAAAGGTAATTCTCAATTCCCATAAAACACTATTTGTAATTATCTATTACTGTATAAAGTTTCTCAATCTATAGAACTTTATTTTATAAAAGATACATTTATACATATATTGACTAAAAAGTAAAAACTTTAATATTAATGTATATATTCTCTGTGGCGACACTCTTCTTTTTTCGTCACGTCCTTTATTAAGTGCTTTGCCTCTAATAATTTTATCACTTTCTTACTTTGTTCTTTTATTCCGATTGATGAAAAATATTGAATATATTTTAACCAAACCTTGTAATTGTAGACATAATATAATACAAGCTTTTCGAGATCGAAAAGATGCCAAACATCTCTAATCCAGATAATGATATAGTTGTGGGTTTCAAGAAGGAAGAAGAAATAATCATAGATCAGCTTATTCATGGGTCACAGGAGAGAGAAGTTGTTTTAATTAGTGGCATGGGCGGATTGGGAAAGACAACTTTAGCGAGGAGAGTGTATGAGGAGAAAAATGTAGTCAACCACTTTGACATGCGTGTGTGGTGTACTGTTTCTCAAGAATATGATTGCACAGACTTGTTGAAAAAAATATATAGTCAAGTTTGTGGCCACAAGACAGAGATTGACAGTGTAGCTGAAGAGCTTCGCAAAAGGCTGATGGGAAGGAGATACCTCATAGTGTTGGATGATATTTGGAGTGAGGAAGCATGGGAAGAGTTGAATAGAGTTTTTCCCTCATGTGACAATAGAAGTAGAATTGTTTTAACAAGCAGACAAGAAAGTGTGGTTTCTGATGCCAAACATATTTGTCGTCTTCCTTTCTTCACTATTGATGAGAGTTGGGAATTATTGCAAGTGAAGTTATTTAAAGGGAATGGATGTCCTGAAGAGCTCGAAAATGTTGGAAGAGAAATATCTAAAAAATGTGGGGGATTACCTTTGACAGTTGGTTTGATAGCGGGTCATCTTGGAACAGTTGAAAAGAGTGAGCACATGTGGCGTAAGTTTTTTCTTACTCTAAACTCACATGTTACATCTGGAGACAGAATACAAAGCAATGATGCGATAGAGCTTAGTTACATGTATTTATCATATCATTTGAAACCATGCTTACTTTACTTTGCTGCATTCCCAGAGGATGAAGAAATTAGAGTTTCGAACCTAATAGAACTATGGATATCTGAAGGATTCATCATAAGAATGACGGAGAAAGGGAGTGTAGAAGATGAGGCAGAGGATTACTTAAACCATCTGGTTAGCAGTAATCTAATTATGGTGTCTGAAAAGAAGTATGATGGTCGCTTCATATCATGCAGGGTTCATGATTTGGTACGTGACTTTTGCTTAACAAAAGCTAGAGAAGAAATATCCTTGGAGATAATTAATACGGAAAAGGAGTGGGATCCAACTCTGAATTTTACCCTACAACGAATATGTTTTCATATGCATTTGACATCTGATAATAATGCTTTTGAATTGGTACCACGGAATTCTTCTCTTCACACAGTTTTGGTTTTCCATCGTCTTTATTCAGCCTTTTATAATGCCTCATGGATTGCTAAAAATTTTGAACATCTCACAATCTTGGATTTATTGGCAATCTTTGTGGACCAATCATTTTTGTCGGAAGTTAGCTCACTAACTCATCTAAGGTATCTAGCTCTCAAGGTAGGTGTACATGGAAATGATGATGCAGATGATGTCTCACCATTATTACTACGGAATCTTAAGTGTCTCATAACATTAAAGTTGCGATCAAACATGGTGCATTTCCCAATTTTTTTGGGGAATATGAGTACATTGAGACATATGATTCTTCATTGTGTCAGATGCAACAAGTCTTGCATGGAGAAATCAAGATCAGTTATGATTGAAGCAATTCCTGCTTGTTCAAAAGAATTGCAAACCTGGGAATCGCGATGTCCTCTGACTCCAATGCATGAAGATTTATTGAGAAAGCTTCCCTGTCTCAAAACTTTGAGTTGTACAGTCTCAAGTTCTGAAGGCTTTCCTGAAATTGACTTTCTCCATCATCTTGAAACTCTTGTGTTATCCGGTGAATATGAAAGTTTTCCACTCAGCAAGTTTCCATCAAGTATTAAGGAAATACGTTTGAAGAATATTACTCTTTCGGTGTCTGCAATCTCAATAATTGCTCAAGTCTCCAAGCTTGAGGCTCTAACACTATTTCATTGCGTGTTCGAGAAGGGTGTAGAATGGAATGTGGATGAGGAAACCAAATTCCTCAAACTCAAAATCCTCCAATTAGATTCTCCTGATATTAGAATTTGGAATATTAGTTGTGTTGCTGAGTCCTTTCCTTGCCTTGAGCAATTACATTTGAAATACTGTATGAACTATATACTGATGCCTTCTAGTTTTGATGATGTTTTAACATTGAAAAAGATTGTTGTGGAGTATTGCAATTCCACTATTGAAAGTTGGGCGAAGAACATTGAGGAATCTGCACGGGATATAGGAAACGATCAACTCAATGTCAAGATAATCAGTAAGTGAAATTAACTGACTTAATTCTTCACTTTAATTTTCTCATTATTATTTTTGACTTAGTGTTTAAATTGGCATGTTTAATTTCTACAACATAATGAATACAAAATTGAGTTATATTATGAGTTAGTCATATAAAGATTTTCATCAAAACATGAGTTTTTACATCCTGTGGCTTTCATATTGTTTCTCCCATGATAGTATATGTACAAATCACTTTATTTTTTGGTGGTACATAATAGAGTTAGGATTATATTTTAAAGAAAAATGTTATGTTCTATTACTAAGTTTGCATTGAACACATTCTAGACAACACATGCAAAATGCATTTGGTATGTCAAGAGTCCTACTAAATCTCTTTTCTTGTTTATTGAAAAGGTTGGTAGAGCCGACGTGAATCCGAATTCCAACTCTGAGCGTGAGTCCAACTTTGTGAATGAGACTTGGAATAAATTCAAATTAGTTGTACCTACTGGGATGAGGAAATTTGATGGCATGTGCGCTAAACTAAAAAGAGGAGAAAGAAGGACGAGAAAGAGAGCAGGAGTGTAACCATTGAGTCTTGAACCCTATGCTTTTTTTTTTTCTTTTTTTTTTCTTTTTTTTTTTTGGATCAGTTGGAAGGTGACCATTCAGTCTTGAACCTTTTGGTTTGTTATTTTGCAGTCTGATCTAGCTGAGTAACCTTTCTATTCACCTTGCGGTCTAGATTTACCTTTCAGATACACTTTGCTAATTCTGATCAATTCAATAATTAATTATAATTATATTTTATTTTATTTTTATGAGAATTAACAACGTAACCGCGAGTGTTATGTTCAGTTTTAATGGCTAGTTATGGGGTTACTATAAATCTTATTTTAAATCAGATGGTAAATGTAATTGTTAAAATTTGACCACTATTAATTGTTTGATTTAGTTAAAATATCAATATAAATGTTTGGTTAATTAGCTTTTTGCAACTCCAAAAGGTTAAAATTCAAAAAGTTATTCCAAGCAACTTTTTCAATTAGCTTTTTGAAAAAAAAAATTATACCAAACAGCTATCAGCTAACAGCTAATTTACCAAACACTTTTCTACAATCAGCTAATGTTATCAACTATTTATACCCACTAATTAACACAATCAGCTAATATCTAACAGCTATCAGCTAACAGCTATTTTACCAAACAGGGCCAATGTTATTTATTTCTCAATCTCCTATAAAAACTTAGAATAAGATGCAAATAAGCCATTGAACTTGGAATAATGGGATTTGATTGCAGTTTGGGTTTGGCCCTGTGAGCCCAACATTCTTTTGGGCTTTGTCGATTTTTGACATTTAGGTTATTGGACTACAAATTTGGGCAAATTATACCGTGGGGCAAATTATGCCCTGGACCCGTGTCCACAGTGAATTGTGGACACGAGCCCAAAACGACGTTGTTTTTCAAAAAAAACGCGTCATTTAGTTAAAAAAAAAAAAATCGCGTGCGTTTTGCCGTTAACGGCGTTATTATTTTTTTTTTTTTTGGATTATGAATGTACAATTATGTCGTTATGAATGTACAGTTATGCCGTTATGAATGTACAGTTATGCAATTATGAAATTATGAACACAGAGCTCTAACATTATGAACTTACAATTATGAACATATATAGTGATAAAATTATGACCATGGAGCTTTAAAATTGTGAATATAGAGCTTCGAAGATTATGAATGTACAGTTATGGAGTTATGAATCTACAGTTATGGAGTTATGAATCTACAGTTATAAGATTATGAATCTACAGTTATGGAATTATGAATGTACAGTTATTGATCGAATTATGAACAAAAAGCTCTAACATTATGAACTTACAATTATGAACAAATAGTGATAAAATTATGAACATAGAGCTCTAAAATTGTGAACATAGAGCTTCGAAAATTATGAATGTACAATTATAGAGTTATGAATGTACAGTTATGGAGTTATGAATGTACAGTTATGGAGTTATGAATGTACAGTTATAGAGTTATGAACGTACAGTTATGGAGTTATGAATGTACAGTTATTAATAATATAGTAATAAAATTATGAACATATACTCCTATAACGAAGCGGTCTGAATTTTTTTTTTTTTTAAAAAAAAAAAAAGGAGATAACAGTGCCGTTAGGCACTGTTACCCGTGTCCAGCAAGCATGCTGGACACGGGTCCAACGCATAACGATTGATACCGTGGACCATGGTTCAAAACAGCGTCATTTCTTTTATAATAAAAATAAATGGATAAAAGGCATCCGTTTCATAATACACTGCAGCTTCCACTGAGACTTAATCTTATGACCTCTCACACGGGAGATGTCACTACATGTCATCTGAGCACAAGGTGCTTGGCATTGTGTTTCTAGATACACTGTAGTTTCATGTTGTAATTAACACACTAAAAATACGGGCTCCGTTAATATGTAATGACATCAGTTTCTTTATTTAAATAAACGAAGCCATTTTTTGTGGACCATGGTCCACGATATAACGATTGAACCCAACCTCTCCTTTCCATTTTCCCTCTTCTGACGAGCCCCACAAAAAATCATATTTGCAAGAGATAGTGAGTTATCCAACTCTTTTCTCCATCCATTTCTCTCCTCCACATAAGCTATCTTCTCTTAAGTGGGCTACGTTTGCATGAGGAGAAAGACAAATTTCTTTGTTTCAATTTCAAAACCAATGGACCTTACAAAAGTGTTGAACTTATAGAAGAAAACAAAAAAATCAAAAAATCACATCCGTTTTCAAACTCAACCTTTAATTTTTAGATTTGAAAAAACTCCCAAAAAAAAAAAAAAAAACTACAGATATAGACTATAAGAGCATATTTGAGTCATGTCAGCTCCAGCAAGAATTATTGAATCATGTGAATATGTGATCACTTGGACCCACCACAAATGGTATTTTTAATTACCCAAAAAAAGAAATATCAAATAAGACCAAAAGATTGAACATCATCTTCTGAGGCTTCACATGGGCTAAAAGCATCTTGTCTTCCACCCAAAGATTCAATCACTACAGACCAAAAATCAATCTGTCATAAAATATATATAAGCCTAGATTTCTCCCTCAATTATCACTAGCCATCTCTTTTCATATGAATCACTTCTTCTACCAAATGCTCTCTCTTCTCTGAAATTCATTTCTCTGCCAGTTCACTTACAGATCATCAGATCAGAGGTAAGTCGATTTTTAAATGGTTTGTAATATAATGTTCATTAAACTAGTTTATGAATGGTTAGTGCGAATCTGAGGATTCTTTCCTTTCATCTTTATCTAATTTCAGGCAAATTGTAATCTTTGACAAGTTACTTCTTTCAATCAACTCGATCAAAGTGTTCATCTTGAGATTAAAGTTTGTGCGCACTTACAAAAGGTTGGTAAGCTCTTGTTGCTATGAATTTTAGTCAAGTTAATTAAAGTATTTTATTATCATAAGAATAAATAAAGTCTTCCCCTCAATTATTTAGCACCAAAAATCAAACTCTCATAAAATATAATTCTTAATTTCTCCCTCGTTTATTCTCTGATCTCCATTTCTTTCCCTTTTTTCTACTTCAAGTAATCTGCAGTGTTCTTAAAGATATATATTGGATAGTCGCTCTGAAATTCAATTATCTGCCCATTCACTTACAGATTAGATCAGAGGTAAGTCTATTTTGAAATATAATATTAAATTGAGAAAATTGTCAAATAGGTTCCTAAATTTTACTTCAAATGTCAATTAAGTCCCTAAAATTTTTAAAAATTGCAATTAAACCCTTAAACATGTCAAATTAGGTCAATAAAGCTCAAAAATTGATAAATGACCTATAATTTTGGCGACGTATTCTGGCCACCGGCGACAAAATCCGGCGATGGTTGTCAGATTCCGGTCGTCTTCCACTAGAGAAGACGACCAGATCTGGTTGTCTTCTCCAGTGGAGAGGGCGGCCGTCAGGTCGTCTTCCACCTTCTCCGGTGGAAGATGACCGGAATCTGATGACCGTCATCAGATTTTGGTGCCGGTCTCCGGAGTCCGTCGCCGAAATTGAAATGACATGTAATAACAGGTCATTTACCGATTTTTGAGCTTCATTGACCCAATTTAACATGTTTAAGGATTTAATTGTACTTTTTTAAAGTTTAGAGACTTAATTGACCTTTGAGGTAAAGTTTAGGTGCTTATTTGATCCTTTTTCTTATTAAATTGGTAGTGAAGTTATTTATTTCCTCACTTGTTTGCTTAGTTTTTGCTGTTGTATATAGACAAGTAGTTGCCTCTGTAATGTTCATTAAATTAGCTTAGGAATGGTTGGTTAGTTCGAATCTGAGGATTCTTTCCTTTCATCTTTATCTAATTTTGGACAAATTATAATCTTAGCTTTTACAAGTTAGTTCTTTTAATCAACTCAAAGTTCAGTTCTCACAATGTGTAATTCTCACTTCAGTTCCCATAAAACACTAATTGTAATTATTAATACATACTGTATAAAGTTTCCCAATTTATGGTAGCTTATTTTCTAAAAGATACATTTATATATACTTCCTGAAAAGTAAAATCTTGGGTGGATGAATTATACATCTTTTTGGGACTACGAGGTCTCTAATCATGGCATATCTGAGTCTTCCAAAGAGGGCCCTGGGTTTGCTATTATAGTTACTTATTTTAGAAAAATATTTGGTAGAATCCCCTTTTTTACTTATAACTTTTACTCCTTTCTACAAGTTCATAATGTAGAAACTTTTTTATGGACTCACATTATAAAAATAACTTGTCACGTGAAAAAATAGAAGTAAAGGAGTAGAATTTTAAAATATGTATAGTAGAAATCCTTATTTTATACGGAGTATTACATACCAAAAACACTACTGAAAATTATGAAATATCCGACCACCTGAAAGTGATCTTAAATCAAGTTGATACCAAAAAGTGGTCGGAAATAGCAATAAAGGTTTTTCCGGACATCAAAAGTGGTCGGAACAAGGCTTTCGACTTGATTTAAGATCATTTTCGGGTGGTCGAAAATTTCATAATTTCCAGTAGTGAAACTTGCAGTTTTTTTTTTCTTTAACATGGATTTTATTATATATTTGATTCTCCGGCCTCCGGTTAAATATTCATTTAATATGTAATAAATTTAAGGATAAAAATGTAAAAATTAGTCAAAAAAAGGGGCGATAAAGCAAAGGATATTATCAACTCAAATTTTGGGTAGAAACTTATTAATAGCATGGTGCAAATTTTATCACTTCCTTACTTTGTTCTTTTGAATATATTTCTAACCAAACCCTATAATTCTAGAGACAATACAACGTATTTGAGATTAGAAAGATGCCAAACAACTCTGATAAAGCTGTGGGTTTCAAGAAGGAAGCAGAAACAATCATAAATCAGCTTATATATGGATCAAAGGAGAGAGAAGTTGTTTTAATTGCAGGCATAGGTGGATTGGGAAAGACAACTCTGGCTAGGAGAGTGTATGAGGAGAAAAATGTAGCCAACTACTTTGACAACCGTGCATGGTGTACAGTTTCTCAAGAATATGATTACAAGGACTTGTTGCACAAAATATACAGTCAAGTATGTGGTAGGGGGATAGAGATTGGCAATGTAGCTGAAGAGCTTCGCAAAAGTTTGATGGGAAGGAGATATCTCATAGTGTTGGATGATATTTGGAGTGTTGAAGCATGGGAAGAGTTAAGTAGAGTTTTTCCCTCATGTGACAATGGAAGTAGAATTGTTTTAACAAGCAGAGAAGAAAGTGTGGTTTCTGATGCCAAACATATTTGTCGTCTTCCTTTCTTCACTATTGATGAGAGTTGGGAATTATTGCAAGTGAAGTTATTTAAAGGGAATGAATGTCCTAAAGAGCTTGAAAGTATTGGTAAAGAAATATCTAAAAAGTGTGGGGGGCTACCGTTGGTAGTTGGTTTGGTAGCCGGGCTTGTGGGAGGAGTTGAAGAGAGTGAGCAAATGTGGCAAGAATTTTTTCTTACTTTAAACTCATGTGCTGAGTTTAGAGAGGGAATACGGAGCAATGACGCGATAGAGCTTAGTTACAAGTATTTATCAGATCATTTGAAACCATGCTTACTTTACTTTGCAGCATTCCCAGAGGATGAAAGAATTGAAGTTTCCTATCTAACAAAACTATGGATATCTGAAGGGTTCATAGACATTAAGGAGGGGGAGAGAGTAGAAGACACGGCAGAGTCTTGCTTGAAGCATCTGGTTGGCAGTAACTTAGTAATGGTTTCTGAAAGGAAGTACGATGGTGGCATCTTATCATGCGTTGTTCATGATTTTGTACATGATTTTTGCTTAGCAAAAGTTAAAGAGGAAAATTTCTTGCACGTAATTAAGATGGAAGATAAGTTGAATCCAACTCTGGAATTTACTCCACACCGAATATCTTTCCATAGATATAGTTATAATAATGATGAGACTCCTAATGAATTGGTACCATGGAATTCTTCTATCCACACACTTTTGGGTTACTCAAATGTACTGTACATCAGTTTGGAAGGTGATGCTCCACTGGTAATGTACGGTTACGAACCTGTAAAGGTTTATAATGGCTCATGGTTTGCCAAAAAATTTGAACAGCTCACAATCTTGGATTTAGAGTTCATTGGTGTGGATAAATTAATTTTATCTGAAATTAACTCACTAATTCATCTAAGATACCTAGCTCTCTATCTATGTGGATGTGGTTCTGTCTCACCATTGTCACTGAAAAATCTTGAAGGTCTCATAACATTAAAGTTGACTTCATACAAGGATTTGCATTTGCCAAAATATTTTTGGAATCTGAAAAGTTTGAGACATATGATTATCCACCACTATGATTGTGATTCATGCCCAACAAAACGAACTCCCGTTATTGAAACAAATTCTGGTTTACAAGTCTTAGATTTGAAAACTTGTTTGAGTACAAGGGATGAGCATTTATTGAGGAAGCTTCCCCATCTTAAATATTTGAGCTGTCTGGTCTCGCCAACATCTTCATTTCCTGAAATTGACATTCTCCATCATCTTGAATCTCTTTGGTTATACAATAATTGCTATCGTGATCCACATAACCATGTGAATCCACATTTTCTTAATGATCTTAAACTCAGCAAGTTTCCATCAAGTATTAGGGAAATAAATTTGGTGGGTATTACTCTTTCGGTGTCAGCAATTTCAATAATTGCACAACTCTCCAATCTCGAGGCTCTAATACTAAGATGTTGCAAGTTTGAGGGTTTAGAATGGGATGTGGATGAGGAAACCCAATTCCACAAACTAAAATACCTCCAACTAGACCATCTTGATATTAGAATTTGGAATATTTGTAGTGAAGAGTCTTTTCCTTGCCTTGAGCAAGTAATTTTGGATTATTGTGTGGAGTTACGTGAGGTGCCTTATAGATTGGTAGATATTTTAACATTGAAACTACTGAGTGTGCGTAGTTGCCATAACACTGAAAGTTCAGTGAAAAAAATTGAGGAAGATGCACGAGACATAGGAAATGAGCAACTTAATGTCCAGGTTATATCAAGTAAGTGAAATGTGCAGACTTCTTATCTTCAATTCACTCTAATATCTATTATAACTATTAGAAAGATGATAATTTGATTTTTTTTAATGATAATAAAAATTATTGTATCTCAATAGGTTGAGAAAGTAGTTATAAACAGATACTGCATTGTAACAAAGTCAGTATTACTCAAAAATAAAAATTATTGTATTTCATAAATTTTTATTTTTTTTTAAAGCAATAAGCCAATACACACACACAATATATATATATATATATATATATATATATATATATATATATATATATATATATATATATACACACACACACATACACACACAAGAATCAATTAAATGCATTTCTACTTTTGGTGTTGTGCATGGGGTCCTACTCATTTGTTTTTCAAAATTGTTGACAGGTAATCGAGAGACAGGGTGTTTACAAAAAAGAGTTGATCAAATTGCGGAACTGATTAAAGAAGTGTGATTGTCAGACTTTGTGAGCTGTAAACCAGTTTGATGTGTGAACTACTTAATTACAACTTGTTATCACTTGACACTTCTATATCATATTAGTAGGCTATTAGCCCGTAACAACTTGTGAACTACGTAATTTTGTTTGCTACATATATTACGTATACAATCAAACCAGCTCTTGCTTTTTCATTATTTAAAAAAAAAAATTACTCTTTAAATTTTTTTGATATTATAGTTTTGAAATATATTTATTCGATAATACTAAATTAAATATTGTACAAAATTAAACGAGCAATTGCAACGTAACCATGCATTTTAGAGCAAAGATAGAAACATTCTTATTTCATTTAGCCTAATTTTTCTAGCTTTATATTTATACGGTATAAAATTAAAGAACATTGATCACTATTCTTTAACTTATTTTATAAACTTTAGGCATTTTAATCAATTTATTAAAATATTTGAGTGGTGGCCTTTGATTGGGACTAATCATACAGTACATGAACTTAATTCTTAAGTACGTACTTTGACCAATACTAGCCAGGCTTATGCAAATTGCTTTAAATAATGCATTTCGATCTACATTTAGTGCGTGGAGTCCTATTAAAACCTCTTGTTTGGTTAACAGAAATGGCTAACATTAAAGTTGCATTCAAATATGGTGCATTTCCCAATTTTGTTGGGGAATATGAGTACATTGAGACACATGATTATTACTGGTGGTGTGAGATGCAATAAGTCTTGCATGGAGAAATCAAGATCAGTTATGATTGAAGCAATTCCTGCTTGTTCAAAAGAATTGCAAACCTGGAAATCGCAATGTCCTCTTACTCCACTGCATGAAGATTTATTGAGAAAGCTTCCATGTTTCACAGAATTGAGTTGTAAGGTCTCAAGTTCTGAAGGCTTTCCTGAAATTGATTTTCTCCATCATCTTAAAAGTCTTGAGTTATTCAGTAATTATGCAAGTTTTCCACTCCGCAAGTTTCCATCAAGTATTAAGGAAATACATTTGGATAAGATTACTCTCTCGGTGTATGCAATTCCAATAATTGCACAGCTTCCAAATCTTGAGAGCCTAATGCTATTCGATAGCAAGTTTGAGGAGGGCTTAATATGGAATGTGGAGGAGGAAACCATATTCCGCAAACTCAAAATCCTCCAATTATTTTTTCTTAATATTGAAATTTGGAATATTAGTTGTGTTGTTGAGTCCTTTCCTTGCCTTGAGCAATTACATTTGGAATGCTGTGAGAAGTTACTACTGATGCCTTCTAATTTTGATGATGTTTTAACATTGAAAAAAATCGTTGTGAAAAATTGCAATTCCACGGTTAGAAGTTGGGTGAGGGACATTGAGGAATCTGCATGGGATATAGGAAACGAGCAACTCAATGTCAAGATGCACTGTAAGTGAAATTAACTAACTTAATTCTTCACTTTAATTTTTTCATTATCATTTTTGACTTAGTGTTTAAATTGGCATGTTTGTACAATATTAATGAATACAAGATTGAGTTATATTATGAGTCAGTCATATAAAACTTTCATCAAAACATATAGCTTTATACATCCAGGATGTGGCTTTCATATCGTTTCTCTCATGATAGTATATGTACAAATCACCTTCTTTTGGATGGTACATAATAGAGTTAGGATTATGTTTTAAAGAAAAATGTTATATTTTATTACTAAGTTTGCATTGAACACATTGTAGACAAAACATGCAAAATGCTTTTGGTGTGTCAAGAGTCCTACTAAATCTCTTTTCTTGTTTATTGAAATGATTGACAGGAGCTATGTATAATATCTACTCTGAGGATGACTCCAACTCTGAGCCTGAGTCAATATATGATAGTCCTGAGTCCAACTTTGTGAATGAGACTTTTGAAATAAATTCAAATTAGTTCTACATGTCGGGGTGAAGAAATTTGATGGCATGTGTGTTAAAATAAAAAGAGAGCAGGAGTGTGACCAAAGTGACGCATAGAGTAATCTCAACTTGATATTACTTTTATGTTTTAAATTTAAATAATATTGATATTTCTCTACTATATATAACTCTTTTCTTTTTTTATATAAGCTGGAAGGGGGCTACCCAAGAATCAATACAATGCATCAGAAGGATTGAACATATCACGCCACACCAGAAGCATCATCCTCAATTAAGCCTCTAATTTCAGCAGGAGGACTACACGTGAGAACCATGCAAGTCCAACAAATAATCTCTTTTCTTGTTTATCAAAATGATGATGGACACTTGACAGAGAGTTTACCTTGATAAAAACAAATCCTCTTTCCCTTGCTAGTTTGATATGATATGCTTGGAGTTTTTTTTTGTTTTTTTTTTTTTTGTTTTAAACTTAATAATAATGTTATTTTTCTTTGTCTTTTTATTTTAGTGTAATCTTTCTTTTATGTTTAATCAGCACACTGTAAAAAGGAACATCCTTATTTCATTTCGATATAGGTACCTTTGGATGTTTTTGGTACTTCGAAATCTGATTCAGATCTTGATGGAATGGAAAAATGGATTCCCTTTAATATCTCACTTGTGCTCGATCTCATAGAATGGAAAAATGGATTCCCTTTAATATCTCACTTGTGCTCGATCTCATAATGGAAATTGAGTGAGTGAAATGAAATTGCATGCCTTGAACCGATTAAAAATTAGGAAGTCATTTCTCGCTAAAATTAGACATTTCTAATAGAAGCGCACACGCATTCAAGCCTTTTTTATCTTGTTTCTAGTTGGAATTTGATTTGCACACCCCCCATCCCCCGCGCGAGATATCATAAAAGAGAATCGAAAGAGGGAAGGAGAAAAGGAATTAGGAAGAAGGTACTGTTACATTGATGAACTTGGAAGTCTGTTTACAAAGCCAAGCTGCTACCTTATATACAAAGCCAAATGAGCTGAAAATATCCTAACTAACTTTTAACTGCCATCTTAATACTCTAATACCCCCCCTCAAGCTGGAGTGTATATAGAATGGAGCCCCAGCTTGGATACAAATCTGTGAAACAACAATGGTTGTAAAGGCTTAGTTAGGATGTCTGCTGTCTGATGTTCTGTAGGTACATGCAACAACTTGATGACCCCTCTTTGAACTTTCTCTCTTATCAAATGGCAATCTATTTCTATATGTTTGGTTCTCTCATGTAGAACTGGATTTTCTGCTATAGCAATAGCAGATTTGCTATCAGAAAACAATATGGCTGCTTCTCCTAAATGAACTTCAAGCACTTCAAGAAGATAGTATAGCCATTGTACTTCACAGGCAGCAAGAGCAAGAGCTCTATACTCAGCTTCAGAAGATGATCTAGATATGGTGTTTTGCTTCTTGGATTTCCAGGATACCAAAGCATTTCCCAAGAATACACAAAAGCCAGTCACAGGGATTTCCTTGTGTCAGGGCATCCAGCCCAATCTGAATCAGCAAAGCCACTAAGTTTAAAGTTGGAATCTGCGGGAAAGAAGAGACCTTGTCCAGGACAACCCTTGATATACCTCAGTACTCTGTGGACAGCTTGTAGATGAAGAACAGTAGGCTTGTCCAAGAATTGAGACAACTGCTGCACAGCAAAGCAGATGTCAGGTCTAGTGATGGTTAAATATAGGAGTTTTCCTACCATCTTTCTGTACTGAGTGTTGTCTTCTAATGCTTCACTATCATCTTTAGACAATTTGCTAGTCTGAACCATGGGACACTTTGCAGGTTTACTCTCAAGAAATCCTGCATCTTGCAATAAATCTAAAGCATACTTTCTTTGAGTCAAGGATATGCCTTTTTGATTCCTAGCCACCTCCAATCCTAGGAAGAATTTCAGGGTCCCCAAATCCTTGATTTGGAAAACTGAATGTAAATGCTCTTTGATCTGTTGGATCTGCATTCTGTCACTGCTAACTAAGATCACATCATCCACATATACCAGGAGGGCAATGAACTTATCACCAGAGCCCCTGGTGAAAAGAGAATTATCACATACTGCCTGTTTGAATCCCATGTTGACTAGTTCAGTGGATAGCCTAGCATTCCACTGCCTACTTGCTTGTTTTAATCCATAGAGAGACCTCTTAAGCTTGCAAACTTGTCCAGGATGTTCAGGAACAAAGCCTGGAGGGATGGTCATGTAGACCCCTTCCTTAAGATCACCATGCAAAAAGGCATTGTTTACATCAAGCTGATGTAACTCCCATCCTTTGGTAGCTGCCACACCAATCAAGGTTCTGATGGTTGTGACTTTTGCCACTGGGCTAAAAGTGTCAACATAATCTATTCCACAGGTCTGAGTATATCCTTTAGCAACTAATCTTGCCTTGCACCTTTCTACTGTCTCATCAGCATTGTGTTTAATTTTGTAGACCCACCTACACCCTATTGATTGTTTAGAAGGTGGAAGAGTGGTCATTTCCCATGTATTGTTTGCTTGTAAAGCATATATTTCTGCCTGCATAGCAGCCCTCCAACATTCATGTTTAATGGCTTCATTGTAGGATTTAGGTTCTTGAATGTTGAGAATGTTGGTGGCAAAAGCCTTGAATTTAGGAGATAGCTGAGAGTAGGACAGTACTGCTGAGAGAGTGTGAGGAGAAGTCCTAACACTAGGCAGGTTGCAAGCATAATCACTAAGATAGGCAGGTCTTGATACCTGTCTAGTGGACCTTCTAGGCTGAACTGGATTAGGATCAGATTGCTGCAATTCAGCACTGTTCTGAGTGGCCTCAAGTATGGGGTCACATGATCCTTGAGGATTGATGCATTCTCTTCTATCTTCTCTTTGAATAACTCTCTGTGGAGTAGTGTCTTCCAAAGGCACATTTTCACTTGGCAAAATTAGTCCTTGAGGGAACTGCTCACTGATCTGATTTGGTGCTTCATAAGGAAAGATGTGTTCATAAAAGATTACATCCCTTGACAGAAAAACTTCCCTGGTGTCCATGTCATAAAGCTTGTACCCTTTAGTTCCATTGGGGTATCCAAGAAATAAGCATCTTCTGGCTCTGGGTGCAAATTTGGTTTGATGTCCCTTGTGCATTACAGCATAGGCTAAGCACCCAAAGATCTTGAGGTGAGAATATTGTGGTGCCTTCTTGAAAAGAACCTGATAGGGAACCTGACCTTGCAGGGCTATTGAGGGCA